ACTCCGACTTGAATTGGGAATGGCGTTGACGTTCCCACTGGATTTTACATGCTATCAAAATCGACGAAATCATCCACAAAATAGAATACATCTTGAATATAATTGCACCCCAAAAGCAAGTACATCTTGAATATAATTGCACCCCAAAAGCAAGCGTATTTCTGCTCTCGTTTTTAGACTTCAACGCAAAGATTTTGGGAAAACTCAGTAGCTTTAAGCAAATCGATTTATGTTTACAGTGCATCATGTGATCTGTCTGAAACGTCCGCCACAAAGGCTGAGCGGACTGCCCACGAAGATGAACCGTGGTACCACGGTCTGTTACCTCGAGAAGATACCAACAGGTAATACAAGTCGTGGAGTTACACTTACTGGTGATTTGTCATTTCAGACTTCTCGCGAACAATGGCGACTTCTTAGTGCGCTTGACGGAACCAGAACCAGGAATGGTAATGATACAAAAGTTGATAGAATGTTTCGCATGCATTTTTCAGGGCATGAGGACAGTGCTATCTGCTCGTTGGAAAGATAAAGTACAACATTTTGTAATCAACGAAAAAGATGGTGCGACTGTAAGGACTAGAAAACCATAATACAAAATCAACTTTTAGGAAAATATTTTATCGATAAGGAAAAATTCCGAACAATCTTAGAATTAATTACATTTTACTCTACTGAACAAAAATCAGTGACGGAGCAAACAGAGGCTATTCTCATAACACCGATACCAAAACAAGAATGGGAATTCAAGCATGATTGGGTAAGGAAGTTTAATGAGTTTTTTAGGAAAAGAGTTGTCTTTTGAACTAGCAGGGTAGACGAAGTTCCACAAAGAATAATAGGAGAAAAAAGTGCCGTTTTTTTGGCTTGAAGATTTTCCAATCCTCGCAAACCTTTTTATGAAATAGCACAGCAAACTTCGCGAAATTTGATTTTTCACCGAGAATGAATATCGAATAAATTCGAAAATCATTTCGACAACCAAAAATATCGAATGAGCGAGCAACGACTAAACGTATTTGAAAGGATTAGAATATCGAATAAAATTCGAAACAATGATTTCGAATGAAGTAATATAGATCATAATAGTAGGCTGAGGTACTTCATATTGCTTTGCATCTTTTTGAGGCAGAGAGGTTGAAAGCTCAAAAGTTTTCTTGGAACTTCACCCTTTCCGCTTTTTGAGAGAAATACAACAAAAGCTACTTCGTTTTCATCACGTAGTGTTGTTGCAAAAATCTGCATTTTACTTGGTACACCCTTGGATTTGATAATGCATTTCAGATCAAGTTGGGAAGAAAATTAGGAGAAGGAGCTTTTGGTGGTGTCTATGCTGGTGTTTTAACGTTAGGGAAAAAGAAATACGATGCGCGTTTTTGTTTAATTTTCAAGTCAATGCAAGTTAAAATAAGATAGGTTACTTCAGGTTGCTGTTAAAGTCAGCAAAGCAAGTGAGGTTACAAAGAAGATTATTGCTGAGATATGTAAAGAAGCTCGAATCATGCGGAGATATCGACATCCAAACGTTGTGAGATTCTATGGAGTAGCTGTAGAGCACGTAAGAATTCAGCAACAAAGTTAACAACAA